GTCTCTCACCACATGATCTAAAGCTTATTGTGTTTGACAGGATTCAGGACTTAGCACCCAACACCCCACATTAAAATCATGGTGCTATGCTTTTACATGTGTCCCCCCACCTCCAGGCCTGGACATCATGCTCCAACTGCCCACATAACCAACACATCACCTACAGACATGCCTATCTGTACAAGAACATGTCACAACTAACCACATGGGGGAAAACCTATTTGAATTGTTCCAGCTTGAAAAAGTAGAGAGAAAGAAAGCTGATTTGAGAGCAAAGTGGCTGGGGCAATTCTAAACCAACCTTTGCATCATTAAGTCTGTAAAAATTACTTCAAATTCATCTGCTTTATAAGTGGAACAAGTCCAGTGATATTTGACCCTGTAGTTGCACTCCCAGTTTGTAATTCCACTTCCAGAAATATATCCAGGTAAGACTCCCAAATAACTTTGTTTCCAGGGATGACAAAATTCACAAAGAGTCTTAACATGAACCAAAAGGAATTGAGAAGCACTTCTGTCAACAGACTTCCCCCACCCCGCCCCCGTTGCTCTTGTAGCCTACTGTTCCCCAGTAGAAAAGGGGGGAGATGGAAGAGAGTTACACCAAAGGCCCTCAGTCAGCCATGGTGTCACCAAAGAGATGTGGGGCCAAACCTCTTCAGATTTCAAAGAGTTGACAGGTTTGTGTGACAATGTTTCTTAACTTTGAATTTGAAGAATACATGCTCAGAGTGGTTTCAGCGAAAGTGCCAGTATCACACAGAGTGAGGTTTGTGGAGTCTGAGGAAACCACTACATTTCTCTGGATCTACATGCAGAGAGTGTGACTTCAGGGCAAGTAGCACTGGAAGAGGTGCAAGTTTGATTTGTGAGGTGATTTTAAATGCTGGGAGCCAAATGCCTCCTATTCCCAGCTAGCCGCAGGGCTCACAGGGTGGGACAAAGGTGTTTGTGTGTATATTGTGCTTGCTTCCCTTCCAGCCCTTCCTTGCCTGCCTCCATGACACCAAAAGAACCCACCCACCCCAAGATCACAGGGCTCCTCCCCATGATTTTAAAAGGCCCCTATCCCCTGCTTTCACGTTTCTGCCTTGAAACCACAGGGAATAGAATCCTGCTCACCTGCCTTAAGGACACAGCATAGAAACAATGCTTTAGGTCAGATACCATCTTTTTATTTTCCGCCATCAGTGAGAGATCTCCAGCCAGCCCTGAGCAAGGTGTAGGTTTCTTACTTTGGTGTGACAAATGGCACCTGGCATTTTTTCCCTTTCTGTCCATTTATCCAAGGCACGAGAAGGCCTGTCCTTTTCTGCAGCTGGTTCTTTCAATCATATACCTCTGCAGCATTTCCCCTTAAAAATAGAAGGCAAGATTTTCCAGAAACAATTTTAAATACATAGCCATTATTGAAGGTCATCCTTAAGAATTCAATTCACATATTAAAAGACCACCAATATAACAACAAAACACATTAGAGGCAGCTAAAATGGCCAGTTCAGCAACATTCTGCTCCCCTAAATTCCAGTACCAAATGGTGAAACCAGAGGAGTTCATATAAGATTCGCATAACTTGCTACACCTTGCTAATAGACATGGTGTAGGACAATTGAGAAACACCCAATCACGTCGTAAATTGTCTGCATTTAGCTGTGACAAGTTACTCAAACCTTACATGAAAGTGATTAGGATTCTAGTTACTGCCTCAGGGTGGGAGAAATGTTTCTGGCCCAGTTGACAGCAGAGAAAAGTACAGAAAGGAGTATAGATAGATGAGCATCAAATTGGGCTAATTAACCAGTTGATGTGGCATTCCAGAGGAAATAAATCCTACTATGAGGTGGATGGAAAGATGGCAATTGTGGCCAGCAGTTACTACCATTACTGCTACAACTCATACCCACCAGACCTTAGGTACAGCAGACGCCACAGCTTTGTCAGGTTGTACACTTCGACCAGGACTAACAAAAAGCTCACTGGCCTGCCAGGCCAAGGGCAGATGTGGTTCTTCTCCCCCTAGACTAGCTCAACCTTGTGGAGCAATCTCAATGGCTGGTTGCTAAAGTTTGTGCCACACTTGGGAAGGTCGCCCTCCGTCCCCTGCCTTGGTCCCAACAGCAAACATGACCCCAAACCATACACACAATCCTTCACCTCCTTCCCTTGCTACTTGGATTTTGATGCACCAACACCTCACGTGCACTATATGTGTAAAACATGTCCACATGGAGGTTGTGAACTCTGATGCCAGATAGAACTGGGGAGGGAAAATTGCCTAGGCTTTGAAATCACCTAGCACAGAAATATACTATTTTTTCCTTCTCCAGAGCTGTTTACCCTGAGATAGTTCTTCCTGCTTGGAGACCCAGAGAAGGACAGGACTTTCCTGAGACTTCATCTGGCACCCAAAGCCCAGCTAACCCGACGGTCAGGCTTACTTATTGGTGGAAGGTATTTGCGTTTTTCATTCATGGACAGCAAAATGGACCCAAACTCTTAATTTTTCACCATGCAGGGAACAAGATTTGAATCACAAGGGAGAACAAAAAACAAACAAACAAAAACATGCATAAACATAGTTTGGAAGTGGGGAAAGAACCATATTGCTACCTCCTTTCCGAATGGTTCTCTTAACAATATTATGGACAGTTTCCCATGGAAAAGTAGTTGCTATATTTGGTCATGATTCATAGCAGCCAGGGTCACTGTATTTTATTTGTACAGGAACACCAACATGTGTGGCAAATCAGCTGAAGGAATAAAGATTTTCTTCTGCTGCTCAGTGAATAGGTCATAGCGAATCAACTGTAAACCTTTACAGCCGGCAGTTCCTTTTAACTGAGCTGCAGCAACTTTCCACTGTTAAAACACTGCCTGTTTCTCATCTCTCTTCCCACACAAGCACGGAAATATTGTACTTAATAATCCAGAATAATAAATATGAGTATTTAAATGTTTGTGTGGCTGTCAGCATCTGCCTCACTGTCAGAGATGCAGACCCAAAGACATGAAATCTAGACATGTGCAAGTTGACCCTAGGGGTGTGCGGTTTGAGGTTCTTCCATTTAAAAAAAAAAAATTATTAAATTAGTGATGTGTTTTAAGCCTATGGTACCATCTTCAACCACTAGGTGGCATACCTCCTTAATAGCACAAACATCTGCACAAGTTGACCCTAGGGGTGTGCGGTTTGAGGTTCTTCCATTTAAAAAAAAAAAATTATTAAATTAGTGATGTGTTTTAAGCCTATGGTACCATCTTCAACCACTAGGTGGCATACCTCCTTAAATAGCACAAACATTTGCAATCTATATACTGTCTGAGGCAGGAAACTATGCAAAAGAACAAATTATAGGGCTTTCCCCTCCTCCCAATCTGTTATGGTGAATACTCTTTTATTGGCTTGAGGTGGGCAGACCTGCTCCTTAGGAGGGTGTAAGGATGAACCATGTCAGACTGGTGGGTGCAACGGGCAGTCCTGGTCGCTGCATCATTTTCCTTGAAGGCCCCATGCAAAGCCAAATATTTTTGCTTGCAAAGGACAGTAAGGGTTTAGTTAATGGGCAATTAGATGTGGTGAACAAGATTTACTTGATGTGACCAAGAGGATCTTAGTAGATTGAAAAACTAGACCAAAACAAATGGACTACATTTAATCATACACGTAAAAGTTCTACAATTAGATAAGAAAAATCATAACAACGAATCCGTATAGCGACGATTTTTTTGGCACGGATTATCGTCGCTATGCAGGGCACCACTGTACTGTCTGAGGTAGGAAACTATGGAAAAGGACAAATTATAGGGCATCCCCCTCCTCCCAATCTCTTGTGGTGAATACTCTTTTATTGGCTTGAAGTGGGCAGACCTGCTCCTTAGGAGGGTGTAAGGATGAACCATGTCAGACTGGTGGGTGCAACGGGCAGTCCTGGTCGCTGCATCATTTTCCTTGAAGGCCCCATGCAAAGCCAAATATTTTTGCTTGCAAAGGACAGTAAGGGTTTAGTTAATGGTCAATTAGCTGTGGTGAACAAGAATTACTTTATGTGACCAAGAGGATTTTAGTAGATTGAAGAACTAGACCAAAACAAATGGAATACATTTAAACATACATGTAAAGTTCTACAATTAGATAAGAAAAATTAGATGCCTACGGATAGGATGGGTGAAACATAGCTTAACTATAGTACAAATGAAAAGGATCTAAATTTGGGATGTGCAAATACCATCCACTCCAATTCAGCGTGAATCACTTGTGTTACAAATAGCAATTGATTCACTTGGAGCAGATTTTAACTCATCCACTTCTATTTGTATCCAAATATCTGAAAGTATCTGTATGAGTCCAAATGGTGAAAAACAATGTAAATGGGGAAAATAATGGGTTCCGACCTGAGATGGAGGATGAAACTCAATGCCCTCAACTACTGCTCAACCTCGAATGTGCAGGAACACCCCCCCACACACACAAGTTCCTTCCCTGTGGTGAACAAGAATTACTTTATGTGACCAAGAGGATTTTAGTAGATTGAAGAACTAGACCAAAACAAATGGAATACATTTAAACATACATGTAAAGTTCTACAATTAGATAAGAAAAATTAGATGCCTACGGATAGGATGGGTGAAACATAGCTTAACTATAGTACAAATGAAAAGGATCTAAATTTGGGATGTGCAAATACCATCCACTCCAATTCAGCGTGAATCACTTGTGTTACAAATAGCAATTGATTCACTTGGAGCAGATTTTAACTCATCCACTTCTATTTGTATCCAAATATCTGAAAGTATCTGTATGAGTCCAAATGGTGAAAAACAATGTAAATGGGGAAAATAATGGGTTCCGACCTGAGATGGAGGATGAAACTCAATGCCCTCAACTACTGCTCGACCTTGAATGTGCAGGAACACCCCCACAAGTTCCTTCCTTCCTCCTGGGAACCACACAGTTTACTCATATTTACTCCACAAAAATGTATGTTTAAGGAGAAAAGATACCCCCGTTTAGCTGTGCTGCTGAGAGGACCTGGATGCTGCCTTGTGTTCTACATTTGCCACTCACACCATCTGGAATACATGCAAACAGAGCTAAAAAATAATAATAAGAAAAAACAAAGTGCTACAACTAGATAACGTTGTCAACATCTTAGTAGTCCCTTTCAGCTTTACACATAGTATAAAATCATGTCTTGTTCCACAAAATTCTCTAAAGCTTTTGTGCTGCTTCTGGAAAAAAAAGAAGAGGAGATGGGAAAGTTTACAGATTTGTGACTCATCACAACATATATTGGATTATCTGAATAATAATCATGTTGTCAAGTCAGTCCTGACATGGTGACCCTTTTCAGGGTTTTCAAGTACTCAGATGTAGTCCACCATTCCTTTCCTCTGGGAGCGTCCTGGGACTCTGAAGCGGTTGCATAAGCTGACCCTTCTCCCAAGCGGCACAGTGGGGGAATTGAACTCCCAACCTCTGGCTCTGCAACCAGAGACCCAATTCACTGAGCTATTCAATAAGCCTTGATTTTCTGAACTTCCTGTTTGAGTGGTTAATGTGTGGCCAAATTTCAACAGCACCAAAAAACAAAGTTGGAACTCTTTAAAGCATGACGCATCTTGTTTTTACACTGAAATGCACTCTTTGAACCATCTTGGAAATGCAAGTTGGCTTCAACAGGAGAGCCATGCATTGTTTCTAGATTAATTATGCTATAAATCCTTCACCATCAAACCAGCAAAATGTTCTTCTGTTCCAGGGAAAGGATGCAGCCCTGCTGGGTTACTGATGCCACCAACCACTAGACATTGCTAAAACTTAGTTGAATGACTATTTGAATCCAAGTTTAGCCCCCTTTTTTTCATCTTATGCTACAAATGCAGCAAAGCATTGTTGATCTCAGAAGTCTGAACGTAGTGGTGTGGAAGAAGTTTATTTGAATCAACAAGCATGATCTTGAAGTTAATTTTAGAGATGATCAATAGATGTAGAGTTAAGGGGTTGGGAGCACTTTGCCTCTGAATATCTCAGATTATATCAGGGGATGACTCACCTGTAAGAACTGTAAGTTATGTACTGATGACTCAGATGATGGGTTGTGTGGAGCCCAGGCTGCATATGAAGTTCTTAACCTTTGAACTCTTCCTCATATTTTAGTTGGGAAATTTAATTCATATTGTGGGGCAGAAAGTTATCTGAAACAGAAATTAATTGGGAGGGAAATCTTCCTTATTACACATGATGAATGAGTCATGGAATACACAGTTCTCTTATTTTAAAAATAAAGCTTCACAAAAGGTCAGCAGAAGCAAGCCAAAGAGAGCTGGGCAGAATTACATAAATAATGACTGTTTTTGTTTTAGATCCGAATTCTCTGTGGTGTATTTTATCATATACTGATGTTATGAAGTATGGAGTGATCCAAGCAAAGGAATTCTTTCAGATAGGAAAGGTTTAAGTATATGGCTAACTCTGACACATTGTAGTCTTTAACTGTGTTGAACTCAGCTTTACATTTCTGTCTTAACTGTTAATTCATCCAAAACCTTCGGCCAGAATCCTTCCAGGTTTCAGTCCAAAGTAAGTGAAACTGCGTAAAGTTGCTGAAGCTAATTGATAAAGTGCTAGTCAGTTGCCTGGTTATGAATAGAGTAGCATGTTAGTCAAACAGCTCAGTAGATAATTTGCACTTTGCTAATTGACCACCACAACTTACACAATTTCACTTATTCTTGTAAGGCCGCACCTGGAGTATTGTGTACAGTTCTGGTCACCCCACCTCAAAAAAGGCATAGTGGAACCAGAAAAGGTGCAGAAGAGAAAGACTCAAATGATGACTGGGCTGAGGCACCTTCCTTATGAGGAAAGGCTACAGCATTTGGGGCTCTTTAGTCTCGAGAAAAGGTGTCTGAGGGGGGACATGATTGAGACATATACAATTATGCAGGGGATGGATAAAGTGGATAGAGGGAAGCTCTTTTTCCCCTCACACAATACTAGAACCAGGGGACAGCCACTCCATTGGAGTGTTGGGAGAGTGAAAAGAGACAAAAGAAAAAAAATTATTGACCCAGCATGTTGTTAGTCTGTGGAATCCCTTGCCACAGGATGTGGGGATGGTATCTGGCTTAGATACCTTTAAAAGGGGATTGGACAGATTTCTGGAGGAAAAAGCCACTGCAGGTTACAAGCTATGATGGGGATGTACAATCTCTTTGAAGGTACCTCCAAATGGCAGATGCAGGGGAAGGGGGATCAGGAGGCAGATATCTCATTGTCTCGTGTGCTCCCAGAGGCATCTAGTAGGGCCACTGTGAGACTCAAGGAGCTGGACTAGATGGGGCCCTTGGCCTGATCCAACAGGGCTATTCTTACGTATGTTCTTATTCTAGAGTAAAAATCCTAATAGGTTCTAGCCTTGTTCTCACAAGTGACAACAAAACTTCTCGCTATGGTGGGCTATGCATGTTCAAGACATATCAAAGTGTTTTATTTCATGTAATTTTGTCTTTTACAAAGACAGAAGTACAAGTAGCCATGTTAGTTTGCACAAACCTAGACAAGAAGCAAAACAGAACAAAACACCACAAGTTACAAAAACATGGTGGCACCTTAAAAACTAGCCTCTATCTGTTAATGTGAACTTTTGTGGATCAAGTTGTTGAGAATTTTGATTATAACGTGTATTCTCGTAACATCAGCAGAGTAAGGAGATATTGGTTAGCAGAGATACTTATGACACTGAGAGAGTAAAACCAACAACTTAGTCTATTTACATATATACAGTACATGGAGAATGGACATTCCTCTGGCAGCATAACATGACATGAAGCAACAACACACAGGATAAGAAAAAGTGATCTGACTTACAGTAGATAAAGACGTTCATTTTATACACATGACTTATGTACAGTTCTGTGACCAATCAGAAAATACATTACTTCATTTTCTGTTACACAAAGTTTCATTATGTACCACAGGTGCATTATGTACCACAGGTATACAATATTAAGTCTTAATCCTTGATACCCACACCTGAATACAATCAGTACAGTGACTCAGGTAAAATCAGCCGTTTTACATATAAGTATACAACATTAATATTTAATACATTTTCATATCAAAATCTCAACACAAATCCCCTCCCTCAGATATGCAGATGACACCATCTATCCTCTGCGCTGGTCCTATTTGTGGAAACCTCCAGGAAGAACACGCTAATACGGAGTGACAAGTGACATTGTGTTTGTCCCCGGCTTTAACAACTAATCATCATTCTCGGAAAACATGAATTAAAAGATGAATAGGCAACTGCCCTTCCATTGTTTTCACCTCCCGAACCTGATCCTAAAAATAAACCAGGGTCCCTTAAACTAAAACTGCTTGCACAACTAATGCAGTGGGAGTGATCTGACTTTTCGGCTCCTAAGTCAGCTGTTTGCAAGGACAAGGACCTCTACTTGCATCCTGGCAAAGGCTGTGTGAGCAGGGGACCCTGTGTTGCAACCCCTGCAGGGCTCCACACTCCACTCGTGCTTCATGGCATTTTGGCTAGAATTGCTTGTCAAGGAGTTCCAGTGAAACAGATGGATCTTCTTATTCAAACCGATTTAAAACCAGAGTGCAGTGGTCAGGTGGAGGCCAATACTGGGAGAGGCAAAGGATACCGCTTTTGTGATCCTCATCCTGTAAGCCCCATGATATAATGTACTTTGCCCACATTTCCTTCTAGGCAGAAACCATTAATTAATCAAGACTGTTAAAAAAGGTTATTCATTATTTAGGGCAGTGGTTTCCAGCCACGGGTAACCCAGTTGTTTATTTATTTAAAATATTTTTACCCCACCTTTCTCCTTAAAAAGGACTGTAGGCAGCTGACATCAGTGGAAGACAATATTTAAAGCTAAAAACAATAAGTATACAAGTGTTTAAAAGGAACATATAAGTGCCACTCAAAGAAATGGTAAACACAAGCAATACTGAAAACAAGGTCAAAGCAGTAAGACACAACCATCTGTTTAAAAATCCCATTCAGGCTGCCAGTCATTAAAGAGAAAGCCTGCCTAAAGAAAAAAGTCTTTGTCTGCTTGCAGAAGGATAGCAAAGAGGGGGCCAGCCTGGCCTCCCGTGGGACGGAGTTCCAAAGTCTGGGAGCAGCCACTGAGAAAGCCCTCTCCTGTGTCCCCATCAGACACACCTGTGAAGGTGGCAGGACTAAGGGAAAGGCCTCCCCTGATGACCTTAACAACTGTCAGCTCATAATGGGAGACATGGTCTCAAGCAATACTGAAAACAAGGTCAAAGCAGTAAGACACAAGCATCTGTTTAAAAATCCCATTCAGGCTGCCAGTCATTAAAGGGAAAGTCTGCCTAAAGAAAAAGGTCTTTGCCTGCTTGCAGAAGGACAGCAAACATGGGGCCAGCCTGGCCTCCCATGGGACGGAGTTCCAAAGTCTGGGAGCAGCCACTGAGAAAGCCCTCTCCTGTGTCCCCATCAGACACACCTGTGAAGATGGCAGGACTAAGGGAAAGGCCTCCCCTGATGACCTTAACAACTGTCAGCTCATAATGGGAGACATGGTCTATGAGATAGCTCAGACCCAAGCCATTTAGGGCTTTATAGGTTAAAACTACCACTTTGAATTGTGTCCAGTAACTGATCGACAGCCAGTGGAGCTCCTGTAACAAGAAGGTCACGTGATCCCTGTATCCAGCCCCAGTCAGCAATGTGGCTGCTGTATTTTAGATTTGCTGAAGTTTCCTGACACTTTCCATTGGCAGCCCCACATAGAGTGCATTATAGCGATCCAGCCAGGAGGTAACTAGGGTGTGTGGCCAGATCAGATCTCTCTAGAAATGGATGTAGCTGGCACACTAGTTTTAATGGTGCAGATGCATTCCTGGCCATCACTGAAACCTGGGCAATGAGGCTCAGAGAGTAATCTAGAAGCTTTAACCACCAGTTTTGCTGACTGGGATTTCTGGGAATTTCAGTCCAAGATATAGGAGGAATGAAGGATTTTGTTTCGTTATGTTAAATACCGTTGAAAACACTGCCAGACCTAAGATAATTGATTACAGAAATGTGATGAGAGGGGGACAGCACTTTGATGTAACCATTTTCAAAACACCGAGGTCAATGTGTATTTACTACTGTATATTAAAATTCAATATTATTTTTTTTCTAGTTTTAATGGTGCAGATGCATTCCTGGCCATCACTGAAACCTGGGCAACGAGGCTCAGAGAGCAATCTAGAAGCTTTAACCATCAGTTTTGCTGGCTGGGGTTTCTGGGAATTTCAGTCCAAGATATAGGAGGAATGAAGGATTTTGTTTCGTTATGTTAAATACCGTTGAAAACACTGCCAGACCTAAGGTCATTGATTACAGAAATGTGATGAGAAGGGGGCAGTACTTTGATGTAACCATTTTCAAACCACAGAGGCCAATGTGTATTTACTATATTAAAATTCAATATTATTTTTTAAATGTTTCATAATGGGTAGAGCATTGGACTCTGACATATGGTCAAATCCCCCACTCTGAGCCTTGAAACTCAGAAGGCAACGTTGGCCAGTCACCATGTCTCAACCTCACCTTCCTCACAGGGATGCTTCACAAGGCTGCTGTGAGGATAAAATAGATGTTTACAGGTGGGGACTGAACATGCCTTGAGTTCTTTGGAGGATACAGAAGAGAGAAGCAGAGTTCCAGTGAACACTGGCATCATTTCCCCACTGAAATGTATGACTGAAGACCATTATTCCCCATGATTTCCGATGAATTGGCTCATCGGATACACTCTGCTGTGAGGGAGCAGAGTCTGCTTACCTTGCTCACCCAAAACCAATAGAAAAAAATATCTCAGTCTGTTTAAACAGGGCTAGTCATATTGAAAGGCCCAAGTGGTGTTGATGTGGGTAATACTGGCAGTTAACGTCAGTTATTGCTACTTTATTTTCCCATTAGAACCTTGGCTTCAGCACATAGCAGACACTCCCATTATTGGGCTTGACTCAATGAAAGCAAGGCTCAGACATCAGCAGCTGAGACCTAACAATAGCAACTATGCAGTAATGGTACAGGAAGAGTTCTACTGGCTCAGAGGAAACTTCCTGTGCCATAAAAAACATTAGATCTCACACCTGAAAATGTCAAATGACGAACTGGCCTCTGCCCTATGTCTTCTGCAGAGAAGACAGACACAAATCATCCATTCTGGTGCAGAAGAACCCCACTGTTTCTTCTTCTGCCATCTGAAGACTGTGTCATACATCCATTGCAACATCAACTCTCCTGCTTCTTAATCCCCATTGAAGACAACCCCACTCTTTCTGTCCCTGAAGTCAGTTCACAATTGAGCTGCAATTGCCTGCAGCCAAGGACAACACTTGTGTGTGTTGTCATTAATAATAATAATATTCTGTCTATTATTGTTACTACTCATGCCAAACAAGATTTTTTTTAATTACAGAGAACGTTGGAAGTTTTGCAGAAACAGGGCAAACATGTACAGAAACATGAGGAGGAGCTCAACAGCAAGCAGAATTTTTAAGTCAAATCAAATCAAATAATTATAAGCATCAAGTTTGGGGGAAAAAGACAACTCAAAGGACAGATGAGAGAGGGAATGAAAATTGTAGGCCAGATTGCAATGGTGGCCTAGACAGTCATCAGCAACCTAAACAAACACCCGCCGTAAGGCAGCTCCGAAGCTGCCAACACAAATGCTCAGAGAGTCGGGAAGAGGACAGCTGCTGCCATTTTATTAGTATTTTCACTAAACAATTCTTGCTGTTCACATGCGGGAAGGAAAACAAAGATTAATACAATATGAGAGGTGGGCATGGCTTTAACGGAGCAGTCTGGCAATGATCTTGAGAGCCATCGTATACATTAGGAAAAGAAAAGCATAGTTTGGTGGGGATGAGCATGTGTGTATAAAGCAATTCCATGTTGTCATTAAAAAAAAAGAATACACAACTGATCCTACTATAACCAGGGAGAAATTTAAAATGACACCATCCAGATCCAAAGGGAAGGATGTGAAGGCTTCATTTATGCTGAAGGAACCCCAGAGCTAGATAACCCAGAATGCAAGTCCAGTCATCAAGAAGCCTTGTGTCCATCCAACCCAAACACCTTATCAGCATCCTACCATGGAAAAACAAGGGCAAGTCATACTTCTATTAGACCACTAAAATTTCAAAGGAAGGAAGGAAATGCTAGTTTTCAATTTATGCTAGTCTTCATCAGATGGGATATCAATATATTGTGGAGGGTGTAGAGGAGACGGTTGAAAGTTCCACATCTATTTCTTAAAAGTGAGTTCCAAAATGTAAGCTGCTAATGGAAATTTGGAGTGTAGGGTTCAAACTATACTGAGAACAAAAATCTCTACATTTCCCACTGAGTTTAGGCTTTACTGGATCATTTAAAGGGGAGGCAGGTTCCATACACTTCCCAAAGGGATACTTTAAAACAGAAGTATTAAGTGAGCTTGAGTAATCCTCTCTTAAAATACAATCAAGCGATTTCTAGAAAATCATCAAAGCAAGTATTGGGCAGAAGCCATGAAAGACGAGAAGCAACAAGTCTTAGGGAGATTGAGAGAGAGCTTGGAAAAGTTGGACCTCACAGAATCCTCCAGGGAACATGGACATGAGCCTTGATAGAGTAGGGCTAGAGAATGTGTGGCCACCCAAACGTTGTGGAATGGGATGATAGGAATCACAGACTGGTGATGTCTGGAAAGCCACTCATTCCCTGCCTTGTTTCAGAGTCACTCAGCCTTGTGTCTGTATGACTGGCAAAATCAAGGTTTAAAGAACCCATTGGGGGAGATACATTAGTAAGGAAGCAAATAGCATCTAACTAAGTGTCTGCATGTGTCTGTGTGAAATTGAGGATTGTCTGCTGGATGATGCCATAGCAAGGCAAATGGTGTGGCAATTACACATGGAGAATGAACAGCACTTTGCAAAACAGTGGGAGAGAAAGGTTGGAAGCAGGTGAGGATGGATTCTGCACCTCTTTGATGGTCGGATCGGAGCCAGGAGGTCTGTTTGCCCCCATCAACATATACATAAGCTAGAACAATGAGTCATTTCTCAAAGGACCCATCACCCATATAGCTCTTTTAAGGCAAGTGGGGGCAAGCAACTAAAACAGTCATTTGGTGGGGCAGTTCATACACAAAGCCCACAGATGGCTTGTGACTAGATGGTGGTGTGTATGCGTGTGCATGTGTGCTCTTTAACTAAGAGCCAGTTAATGAAGATGCCTAATCCTGTTGTACAAATTGCATATTTGTACACCACTTAGATTATATAGAAAGCCACTAAGGGAAAGGATTTTAGGTAAACCAATTCCTTTTTCAAATTTCCCCTTTGGCAAAAGCCAGTCTACCCACGTAGACTGTTAATATTGGCTTTAATTTACATTGGCATTCATTTACTCAGCTCTCAAAGTGATGTATGAATCAAGCTGTTAGCTGCACTACTATCTTATCTAGGCACATGGTGAAATCTTGGTTACACACAAAAGCATATATTAAGATTTATAATCATATTCATTTGTAATTTTAGATTCTATCTTTTTAAAAAAATAATGGGCATTGAATTCTTTTTTTTCTCTTCACAGTAGCAAGCCCTACCCAAATAACCCTGTGGCTTTTTCCTAAAAGAGTAAGGAGTCTTTTGATCTGCTGTGATAATCAAGTTAATGTTCACTTTTCTACATTACTATAAATCTATTTTCCCTGCAGACTCAAACGTAATTACCTCATGCTATAAACTTGAGACATTTCAACAACAAAATCATTAAATCAGACAATTGTCTGGGGAAGAATTTTCTTTATCCACTTTAAAAAAACAAAACAAACTTGTGTTTTATGGGGTTAAACAGAGAGAAAGGGACAGAGAGTCCAGATCTGAATCTGTTTTCATGCAACAATCTTAGCACAGCTTCAATGCAGCAAGGTAGACCGAAAAGGACAACCCCACTCACACTTTGTGATCCAAATGGGTGCTCCAGCAGATGCTTCGTGGCACAGAAAGTATAAAAAGCTGTCTTATATGGAGTCCACCTAGCTCAGGATTGCCTTCAACAACTGGCATGAGCTCTCCAGATTTTTGAGCAAGAGTCTTCCCAGTCCTGTCCAGAGATATTTGAGAGTACCGCAAATCACCCAAGATGCTCCCCATTTTTGGGGGGGGGGGAGGTTAAAAGAAATATATCAAGTAATAAATGTGAAATCCAGATCCAGTTGACAGTATCAGGCACGTGCTAGGAGCTCAAAACCCACCTTTTTTTTCAGCAGAGGTGGGGCTGAGCCATTCCTAGGATAGACTTCCCTCTGGGCCAGAGTTGGGGGAGCTAGCTGTATGTAGGCAGCTATCAGGGCCAATGGTGAGGCATCATGCTGGCAGTTTCAGTTTAGGAACATCTGGAGGGACAAAGAGTTATGCTGTTTTGATTAACTGTGTGCTGTCAAGTCAATTCTGACATATGGTGATCCTTTTCAGGGATTTCTAGG